AAAAAAAAAAAAAGTTTCACGCCGCCCCCAGCACGCCTAAGAATTGGCTCGAGATAACGCGCGCGCGCTCTGCCGCGAAAAAGTTGCGGTTGAAACGGCTCTGCGAGCACCGAGTGGCCACCGGAAATGCGCACACTCCCGACTCCCCACACACTACTACTGCCAAATTTGAGAGAAAGAGAGAAGGCCTCGTGACTGACGGATTGACAGCCGGCTCTTCCGCCAACGCTACTCAGCCTCAGCAATCAGCACTCAGCACTCAGCACTCGGTGGTCAGCGTTGGAGGATCGTAGGCGGCCTTGTCTCCCTCTCACCACCATCGTCCGCTCCGTGTGCAACGCCGGCGAGCATATAGTGGCCCCTCTTCTCACTCGCTCATCGTGGTCACGGCTTCACACTGTTCACCATGATCGCCACCTCGCTCCTCGCGCGTTCGCGCATCCCGGCCGCCGCAGCTGCACGCTCCGTGCGTCGCTTCCCCGTCGCCTCGGCCGTCGCTTCGGCCGTCGCTTCGGGCTCGCGTCTGGCTCCCATCGCCTTGGCTTCCTCGCGTCGCAACCTCGCAACGCTCAGCTCCACCGAAAACGCCCCCGAGCTCGGATCGCGCCAGGTCGCCGACTCCATCTTTGCGCCCCTCGACACCTTTGAGCCGCGCCACGTCGGGCCCCGCGATCGCGATGCCGCCAAGATGCTCCAGGCGCTCGGATACAACCACATGGACCAGCTCGTCAACGACACCGTCTCCCCCAGCGTCCGTCTCGAGCAGTCCGACGCCTACTACGACCAGATCAAGCCCCTCTCCGAGTCCGAGCTCGCACAGCGCGCACAGACCATCGCAAGCATGAACCGCCCCTTCAAGAGCCTCATCGGCATGGGCTACCAAAACACGCTCGTGCCCCCCGTCATCCTCCGCAACGTGCTCGAAAACCCAGCCTGGTACACGAGCTACACCCCCTACCAGCCCGAAATCTCCCAGGGCCGTCTCGAGTCGCTCATCAACTTCCAGACCATGGTCAAGTCGCTCACCGGCCTCGACCTCGCAAACGCCTCCCTCCTCGACGAGGGCACCGCCGCCGCAGAGGCCATGATCCTCGCCTACGGCCAGACAAAGAGCAAGCGCAAAACCTTCCTCGTCGACCGCGGCGTCCTGCCCCAGACCCTCGCCGTCCTCCGCCAGCGTGCAAAGGGCTTCGGCATCAACGTCGTCGCCACCGACCTCCGCACCCCCGACGGCCACCGTCTGCCCCCCGCAGACCAGATCCCCCGCGACGACATCATCGGCGCCCTCGTACAGTACCCCGACGTCGACGGCCGCCTCACCGACTGGCAGGCGCTCGCCGCCGAGATCAAGAGCTTCGGCGGCATGACCATCGCCGCCACCGACCTCCTCGCCCTCACCATGATCCGTCCGCCCGGCGAGTGGGGCGCCGACATTGCGCTCGGCAACGCCGCCCGCTTCGGCGTGCCTCCCGGCTTTGGCGGCCCGCACGCCGCCTTCTTCGCCGTGCGCGACTCGATCAAGCGCAAGATCCCCGGCCGTCTCGTCGGTCTCTCCAAGGACACTCGCGGCGGGCCCGCCTACCGTCTGGCGCTCCAGACGCGCGAGCAGCACATCCGTCGTGAAAAGGCAACCTCCAACATCTGCACCGCCCAGGCGCTCCTCGCCAACATGTCCGCCATGTACGCCGTCTACCACGGCCCGGACGGCCTGCGCAAGATCGCCGCCAAGGTGCACGCCCTCACGCGCCTTCTCAAGCACGAGCTTACCGAGCTCGGCCTCCGCGTCGTCAACCGCGACGGTGCCTTCTTTGACACGCTCACCATCGACCTCGCAAAGGCGGGCGTCGGCGCCGTGCGCGTCCACGAGGAGGCCAAGAAGGCGCGCATCAACCTGCGCAGGATCAGCGACACCCGCGTCGGCATCACGCTCGACGAGACCGTCAGCATCGAGGAACTCACCGACCTCCTCAACGTCTTTGCCTACGCCACCAAGAACACAAAGACCGGCGAGGTGCCCTACAAGCCCCAAGACCTCCTCGCCATCGCACAGCGCATCGGCCTCGACGCCGCCTCCACCCAGTCGCTCACCATCTCCTCCCCCGTCGCCACCACTCCTGCCAAGGATGCTGCCCCCGTGCCCGATTTCAGCCGCAAGTCCAAGTTCCTCCAGCAGCCCGTCTTTTCGGCCCACCGCTCCGAGACGCAGATGCTGCGCTACATCCACTCGCTCCAGGCCAAGGACCTCTCGCTCGTCCACGCCATGATCCCGCTCGGTTCGTGCACCATGAAGCTCAACTCCACCTCGAGCATGATGCTCATCTCCAAGCCCGAGTTCTCGCAGCTCCACCCCTTTGCGCCCGAGGACCAGGCGCAGGGCTACGACGTGCTCATCCGCGAGCTCGAGCGCGACCTCTGCACCATCACCGGCTTCCCCGCCGTCTCGCTGCAGCCCAACTCGGGCGCCCAGGGCGAGTTTGCCGGGCTGTCGGTCATCCGCGCCTACCACGAGTCCAAGGGCGAGGGCAAGCGCGACGTCTGCCTCATCCCCACCTCGGCCCACGGCACCAATCCCGCCTCGGCCATCATGGCCGGCATGCGCGTCGTGCCCGTCAAGACCAAGCAGGACGGCGCCATCGACCTCGAAGACCTGCGCGCCAAGGCGGAGCAGCACAAGCACGAGCTCGCCGCCACCATGATCACCGAGCCCGCCACCACCGGCTGCTACTTTAAGGACATCCAGGAGGCCTTCCAGATCGTGCACGACAATGGCGGACAGGTGTACCTCGACGGAGCCAACCTGCAGGCGCAGGTGGCGCTCACCAACCCGGCCATCATGGGCGCCGACGTGACGCACCTCAACCTGCACAAGACCTTTTCCATTCCGCACGGTGGCGGCGGACCCGGCGTGGGCCCCATCTGCGTCGCCGAGCATCTGGCGCCGTTCCTGCCCGGCCACCCGCTGGCGTCGACGGGCGGCGAGATGGCCATCGACCCCATCTCGGCGGCGCCCTGGGGCTCCGCCTCGATCCTCACCATCGCCTGGGCGTACATCAAGATGCTCGGGTGGAGCGGCCTCAAGAAGTCGACCGAGACGTCGCTGCTGGCGGCCAACTATGTGGCGCACCGGCTCAAGGACCACTACAAGCTCAAGTACACTGGCGACCGCGGCCGCGTGGCGCACGAGCTGCTCATCGACGTTGCCGAGTTTGAGGATGCGGGGCTGAAGGTGATGGACTTTGCCAAGCGTCTGATCGACTATGGCTTCCATCCGCCCACGTGCTCGTGGCCCATCTCGACGGGTCTGCTCATCGAGATCACCGAGTCCGAGTCGCTGCAGGAGATCGACCGGCTGGTGGAGGCGTTCATCTCGATCCGCCACGAGGTGGATGAGATCCGCGCAGGCAAGATGCCGCGCGACAACAACCTGCTCAAGAACGCGCCGCACACGATGCACGACGTCGCCGACGCCGAGTGGGACCGACCCTACTCGCGCGAGCGCGCCGTGTACCCCGTGCCCGAGCTGCGCAAGACCAAGTTCTGGCCGCCCGTCAACCGCATCGACGACGCCTACGGCGACCGCATGCTCGTCTGCGAGTGTGGCGGCGTCGAGGACTATGTCAACTAGGTCTTGACACACACAGACACCTCAACCGTGTCCACTCTGTTTCTCTTGCCTGATAATACGCTAGATTCCGTCCCTAGGTCAACATACGCAACGGGTTTCAACACTGCACCGTCCCCTTTTCTTCCCTTGTTTTGTTTTCAACCGCAATGATCCATGCTGCATTCCAACTGTAGATTCATGCCGAGCTTTGCGCCTCGCCGCTCGATTTGGGTGCGCGGCAATGATGTCCGAGATTGCGGTGGGGAGTGTCAAAGCTGGCGGAGGGGGACAGGGCGAGTGCCTCATCGGGGTTCGATTCGATCGGGATAGCACGGCGTTGATTTCGAGTGAAATCGGAGTGGAGTTGGGCGTGTGTGCGAGAGGGATGGCCCATGCTCTCGAGTGCACACTCGACGCACACCAAAAAGAGCCGGCACGCAACCAGCGCAAACTACGCAAGGAGCGGAAATTGCGATTTGGGATCCCAGGGGCTCTGCAGCCGCCGCGCGTGCAGCACTGAGCTCCCCATCGATCCGGACCCCCACCTCGCCCTCCTATCAACCACCACATTCGCCCTTTCTATCGCCAGCAATGTCGTCGGGCAAAGGACAGAGGGAGGCAGTGTTCCCCACGCGCCAGGCGCTCGGTAGCACCAAGACGCGCCTCAAGGGCGCACAGACGGGTCACTCGCTGCTCAAGAAGAAGGCGGATGCGCTCACCAAGCGATTCCGCACCATCACGCACAAGATCGACGAGGCCAAGCGCAAGATGGGCAAGGTGATGCAGCAGGCGTCGTTCAGCCTTGCCGAGGTGCAGTATGCCACGGGCGATATCGGCTACATTGTGCAGGAGAGTGTCAAGTCGGCGAGCTTCAAGGTTCGCGCCAAGCAGGAAAACGTATCGGGCGTATTGCTGCCTGCGTTCGAGGCGGATATCCAGCAGAAATCCAACGGCGCCTCGGGCAGCGGTGGCGAGTTCGCCCTCACGGGTCTGAGCCGTGGTGGTCAACAGGTGAACAAGGCCCGAGAGGTGTACACCAAAGCGCTCAAGGTGCTGGTGGAGTTGGCTAGTTTGCAGACGGCGTTTGTGATCCTCGACGAGGTGATCCGCATGACCAACCGCCGTGTGAACGCCATCGAGCACGTCATCATCCCGCGGCTAGAGAATACGATCAGCTACATTGTCTCGGAGCTCGACGAGGCCGACCGCGAGGAGTTCTTCCGGCTCAAAAAGGTGCAGGCCAAGAAGAAGGAGAAGGCGGCCGCGGGCGATCGTGAGCGCGCCCACATGCAGAAGAGACTCGCGGGTGACGACACCGACGACGATGACGACGATGACGCCGAGAACCACGACACCCCCGCTGCCGAGGCCGAGGCGGATGATAAGCCGGCGGATGCGGCTGCAGAGGCCTCGACGGCTGGCAAGAAGAAGAAAAAGAAGAAGAACAAGTCGGCCGCCAACACCAACAACGACGACGACGCTCAGCGAAGCAAGGATCTGCTCTCGGGCGGAAAGGACGAGGACGTCATCTTCTAAATGCCCCCCTCCCCCTGCTGTCTCGTATTGTTTGTTTTCGCACTTTCATCCCACGCTTGGTTGCATTCAATTCAAGCCATGCATTGCAGTTTTGAGATTGCGACCGAGGTGGTCATGTCCAGCACGCGCCGATGAGGAGCGAGAGTGCGGCGCCTACGACGACTCCCACAGTGGAAGCGAAGACGAGGCGTTCCTCTTGGTGCTTGCGCGTGCGAATCTGGCAAGCCGCTTCATACTCCCCCTCCACCTCGACTTCCGCGGGGGGTAAAGTCTCGACGGGGCCATTATCTGGCTCGAGAGCAGGTGGTGGTGGGGTGAGGGCGGTATCGAGCGAGTGTTGGAAGCGCTCTACACTTGCGAGGATGAGCTGTCTCGACTCGTGTTCAGCTGCCACAAGGCGCGACTCGAAGGTCTGTGCGAGCTTCTTGCGCTTATACGGCTCGACGAGTAAGATGGCCAGTATGAACAAGAACGCGTTGAGACCGGCTACGATCAAGCTTCCGTACGTGCTCATGCCGCGCATCCTATCGGACCACAGCTGTTCTTCGTGATACCGCACCATGACGGCCTTCATCATGCTGTCGAATGCCTTTTGCACCTCGGCTTCCGTCTGTTCCAGCGTCTTTTCCGCCTCGGCCTCGTGCTTGGTCATCGTATGTTCCGCACGCAGCAGCTGCGTATATCGACTGAGGTCCGTCTCGGTCCATGAGGCTTTGCGCGATAGAAGGTCGTTCGTCTCGCGTTGAGATGCACTTCGACTCTGCACCGAATCGAGATAGTCGCGCTTAGCCTGGGCGGCAAGAAGGCGCTTCGTGTCGAGGTCCGACTCGAGCAGTGTGATTTGCTGCTTGAGCGACTCGATCGCCGCATAGCCAGAGTAGGTATTGTACTGCGCCGCCAGCGTCGACAGCCGACTGCGCATGTCCGAGGCTAGTGTACGTGTGCGCTGGCTTGCCGCTGAAACTGCAGAGGACAAAGACGCAGAGGAGGTGAGCGCGTCAAAGGCTGGGAGGGACGAGGCGAGGGTGCGCAGACGCGATTGCAGGTCTGGTGGGGAATCGGCATCGCCCTGCTCGCTCGCAGTCGAGGAACGGTGCTTCGAGGACTTGAAATCCTCGGACGTGGAGGACGTTGCTATTGTCGGTGCCTCGTCCTGTGGTGGATGCGCAGACGAGCCCTGCTCGGGATCAGACTCTCGGCCTGATGGGCAGTCCTCGTCTTGCGGCCTTGGACTTGGCTTCTCAGCGCTGCTTGACAGAGATGCTTCCCTTGACGGGTCTGTAGATGAATCCTTCGACGAGCTTCTATAGCTCCTCCATTCTGGACGACACCAAGCTCCTCGGCTGGCGAATGGGAGCATCGACAAGCGAGTCGTCCGTGCGAGGCTGGGCGTGACCGTGCGCCCGGCGCTGCGAGACGACGCCGCTGCCTCCACTGTGCATCGTACCAGCGGGCCTAGAGCACCGCGCACGAAGGGCCGGGCCATGACGAAGGAGAATGCCTTTGCGAATGTGATGAGTGCAGCTGAGTAAAGAGTGTCAGACAACTGCCAGCCTTCCTACCAACGAGAAGAGCGGCAGCCCAAGTGTCACTTTTGCTCGCCCGATCGCCGCGCTTTCATCGGGATCGTCTGCCGATGCCATTTACGCGTCGGCTGAGCCCCAAAGGCGACGCGCCCAAGGCTCAGTTGGGCGGTCCCACCAAAACCAACACTATTTGCCCTTGCGCACTTGCTGCCTCTCTTCCGCCACCCCCCTCACCCTCCTCGACACAACTCTTTCCCTTTCGACCTTATCACCCACCTCTGCACACATCGAACAATGGAGAAGCCCACGCCGATGATCAACTCGGCCATGCTGGCGCAGTACGCCGGGCAGACGGTTCGCGTCGTAGGCAAGGTGCAGAAGCTCACCGGCCAGACACTGCTCATCCAGACCTCCGACATGGGCAACGTCGAGGTGACGCTCAACCCGGACTCGGAGATCTCGGGCAGCACATTCGTCGAGATCACAGGCAAGGTCTCCGATGGCGGCTCGGGGCTGGACGGGTACCAGGTGCGCGAATTCACCACCGTCGATTGCGGCGAAAACGTCGGTAGGTACCAAACAGCCTCGCGCACTGTGCAGAGAAAGAAGGATGGCTGATACAAAGGTGTGCGTGTAGATATGGAACTTGTCGAGAAGACCGTTCAGCTCTCGGCCAAGTTTCCCAACCTCTTCTCCGACTCGAACTAGCCTGATCGCCCTTTCATCTGTGTACAAAAGCCCCCCAGCATCCGGTCAATCTCATCATTCCCAATTCGCCCTGGTCCCACAAGCACAGACGTCGTTTCCATCCAGAAGGTTGATTGCAGTCGTGCTTTTCTAGGCGGGGATCGTGGTCAGGTACGACGTACACTGCCCAGGCGCGTATCCCAACTGGGCTTGTCCACCGGTGCATCTCGACTCGTCTCGCGCGCGGCAACGTAGGCTACTCCACGCGAGAGCTCGAGCCAGGGTTCGGTGCCCGCCACATAGCGCGCGCCGAGCAGTGCAAACGCCTTCTTCTCCGCCACGGCCGCAAAGTGGCTCGAGGCAATCGCTACACGCACCCTCCACGGCTGCGCCTCCGCCGTACCGGCTGCCGCGGTGGTGATGCCAAACGCGCGCAGCGTCTGCAGTGTCTGCTCGCCATCCTCGCGCGATGCGGCCCGATGCGAATCCAGCATGAACTTCAAGTGTCGCGCGCGTACACCCTGCAAATCCAGCGGCTGTGCGGCTGCGAAGAAGGCGTCGAAGGCGTCGATGGAGCTGACGCCCCACCGGCGGCCTGCGATGCTGCCGACCAACAGCGCGAGTCGCGAGGGCGTGTACAGCATCAGATCCACATACACGCCGTACGAGCGCGTCGAGAGCTCGAGCCTGTGCGGTGTGCATCCTGGTTGGGACGACGCTACAGCAATGCCCGGATCCGCCGGATCGGTCGATTTGATCGTCACGCTCCAAGCCTCGCCCTGCTGCTCGAGCTCGTGCACGCGCCGCTGAACGAGCGCATGTACGTACTCCTTGGCCACCGTCTCTGCCCAGCCCGGCTCGGGATACACCAGTCCCGCACTCGCGTCGCTGCCGCCGTTGGAACTGCGGTGCGGCTCAATGCGGTTGTGCGGCGGAGGCAGACCGATGCCATCGTACGCATCGGCGTCGACACCAACAGCCTCGGAGAGCTGCACCATATCGGGCCTACCAAACGCATCCAGCCGCTTGGCAAAGTGCAGCTTGCCTGCCTGCCAAAGGATCCTGGCGAAGGTGAGCAACAGGTCGACTGGCTGTCGCAGCAGTGCCGCATACAGCGTAGCAGACGACAGCGGGCGCACACATCGGCCCGGCTGTGTCGCTGCAGAACTGCCTTTGGCGCTTGCAGGTGGGGGTGCGATCGAGTCGAGCGTGGCCATGAGCTTCTTGACGAGCCGCGGGGAGCGTTGTCCATCAACCTCGCCCGCGGTGGTTTCTTGCTCGACGAGGAGGAGCAGGCGGATACCAAGCGCAAACGTCGGTGGCTGAGCTGGACTGCTTGCGTCCGTGTCGGCTGCAAACGGCTCTTTGAGGAAGAGTCGATAGTAGCCGCCGCGATCGTTGAACGGCGACACGTGGAACGAGCGCGGAAAAGTCCACTGATGATCGTAGCCGCCACGCTTGGCCGTGGTGGAGCTTGGGGCGTCCTGCGTGTCGGAGCCGTCCTCGTTGGTGCCGGCCTCGAGCACGTAGATGTGACGCTCGCTGAAAGTGTTGTGCACCTCCAACACGACCAACCAGAACTCTCCGCGCTTGTCGTTCGTGGCGGCCGAGGAGGACCCGTGTGTTTCGTCTCCGAAACCATGCGGCCGATAGCAGTAGTGAACGGTGAGCGGATTGATGCCCGCGATGCCTGCGACGCTCGGCATGGTGACTGTCCATATGTGGCCGAGCTCACTGCGCCAGTGTGCACCCGTGGTCTCGGAGTCCTGCGGACCCACCGAGAGGAAGCCGCGCTCGCGCAGCTCGTACGCGAGCTTGAGCAGCACCGAGCCAGAGATCCATTTTGCTTTGGCCGTATCCGAGTCGGCAGCAGGCGTGTTCGGAGCGGACGCCGCGAGTGGGATCTGGGTGCGCAGGTACGAGCTGGGGCGGAGGCCGGTGAGCGACCAAGTGTACCGGTCATTGCGAGCGCGCTTCTCCTCGAGCCTTCGTCGTTCGATGCGCTCAGCTGCACGCATCTTGGCCTTCCAGTCTGTCTTTTGGTCGACCGCATCTGCTGTGTCGGTGTGCGGGGCGGCGTCGTGCGAGCGGCGCGCAGGAGTGACGCCACGACGATCGGCGAGCGCGGCATGGTCGACAAACTCGGGCTCGAGCACGGCTCCCTTCCAGGCGAACGCATGGCCGGTATCGAGCTTGCGCGTCTCGAGCTGATCGAGCCGGAGAGCGAGATAGAGCGTGTTGTAGCGGAAGGCGTGTTTGGACTCGATGGGCAAGAAGCGCGCATGGCGCGTCTCGGCAGGCACCACCCACGCTGCTGTGCCGCAAGTGGTGCGGGGCGTGAAGAAGCGTTCGAGAAGCGATGGAAGACGCTGCACCAGCCAGATGCCCAGGAGGACGTACAGCGGGATGGCCTTGCGAGATACGAGCCAGTCGCTGCTCAGCCAAGCGGACGAGCTGGACGCCTCGCCCAGGCCAGCCCGCCACGCCGTCGCTGCCCGGTTGCCGAGCGACGATGCGTTTGTCATCGCGACACTGTGTATCGATGGTGGTTCAGCGTTTCGAGAGCTGCATGGCTGTATGCAGCTGATGGATTGCGTGGAAGTAGGGGGGAAGAAGGATGGTAGGGCCGAGCATTGAAAGAGCGGCGCTGCCTCCACAACATCAGCTGATCAATCTAACACTGTCATTTTGGCCCGATTCAGGGTCCATGCGGTGACTTCGAATGAAAGCTTTTCTTCCCGGTCCACCTTGGACCTCTCCCTCACTGCCTTTCGCCAATCACACCATGCCGGCAGGGCAATCTAGCACAAGGACCGGAGCAGTAGTGCAGTCTTCGATTGTGGAGCATGGAATCAACGCGCTCCGCAGCGAGGCAGTAGCATCGACGCCTTCGCCTTCGCCTTCTCTCACCTCCCGCATCAACACTCGCATCCAGGAAGCGGGGTCATCTCGGCTCAACGAGACTCCGGGCGGCAAGGGCAGCAACCCTATCGATACTACGACATGTGCATTGCAGGTGCCTTCTAATTGGCCAAGCGATGTGGTCTATATCACTCAAAACTTGGTCGCGGCTTCGGTCCCAGACTCGATTGCCGAGCGATACGTCCTCCACCCGGCCACGTCCTCCTTGCGCGCCGATGAAGAGTCCGAGTCGTCCGAAGCAGTCTCGCCAAGCTCTCTGCCGCAGGCTACGCACAACAATGGACGTGCACAGACGCTCTACGTCGATTCAATCCAGGACGAGGTGCCGGTGATCATTCATCCCATCGATAAGACGACGCCTTGGTGCCCGGAATCGTTCCACTCGACCAGCCGTCGGCTGAGCTGTCATCCCGCAGCTGGATCGCACGGCCTGTTTGCAGCGCAAGACATCGAGGGCAATACGTTCGTGCGTGCGTATCTTGGCGTGCTACACACCAAGCAGGACGCCGATTTTCATTCGACCTACGACCTGAGCCTTTGCCACGACGATCGGCTCCTCGACAAGTCGCCCGATTCGGATGTTGCAGCACTCGCAGACGCCGTCGATGCCATCAATATTGGCGACGAAGATGACAATCCCACGGCGCTTTATGTCGACAGTCGGTATTGGGGAAACGAGTCGCGCTTCGTCAACGACTACCGCGGCATTGCAGACCGACCCAACGTCGAGTTCCGCTCCTTCATCCAGCTCGATACCAGCGACGGCAAACCAAAGTTCCAGATGGGTCTGTTCACAACAAGACCCCTCCGAAAGGGTCAGGAACTCGTCGTCAACTATGGCAAGAGCTACTGGCTCCATCACGACCAACTCACCCAGCAACAAGCCCAACCTGCTGCAACCCAGCCAGCCAAGCAGGCACCAAAAGCAACGGTCGATCCGATTCAGGCCATGCTCAACCGCAGTCGCATGCGCGTCTCTCGCACCGCAGCCCATCCACACCGTCCCCACCACCCGCCCACACCAGGACCGCAACAGTGAATTCGATCGTCTATATTCCCAGTCTAGACTGCGCAGCTACAGTCCATACGAGTCGCTGAGCTTTTCCAGCTTGTTGTACATCAAAAAGATGATCGCGCTCGACGGTGCGCTGCGCAGACACGTCACACCGCACCCGGCGTACAGGCCGCGAACACCGCGCGTGGTGTAGATCTTCTTGAACGTGTCAAAGAAGCCGGTGCCCTTCCACCTCTGCCCAGCCACGGCGCCGTGCGATGCAGCACGCATCTCCTGCTCGGTCTGCATGGTCGACTTGACACAGTCGGCGGGGAAGAGCACCACATTGTAGCTGATCCCCGCCAGCGCACCGGCACCCACGAGCTCGAGCGAGCTCAGGTCCTTCTTGCTGATGTCGTTGCGGCGTTGCTGCGCGCGCTTGCGCGCGATCAGGTAGCGCGAACAGCCCTCGAACGCCAGGAACCACGCTACGCCTCCGCCCGTCTCGCGCAGCAATGTGCCCGTCTGCCCGAGCCACAGCCCGCGAATGCCGTCCGTAGCAACCGTGCGTCGCAGCAGCGTCAGTGGTCCATCGAGCGTCTTGAATGCCTGTGCTGACGCCGGCGATCCGCCCGCAGATGAGCGCACCGCACTCGTGTACAGCGACCGTTGCTGTTGCATCTGTGCGCCATTCGTAGCCGCACCCGCCGCGTGCGAGCTCGAGCTGGCCAGAGGAGCCTGCTGCTCGCGCGTGATCATCTGCACCTGCATCTTGCACTTGATCAGCTCGATCGGCGTAAGCACCAGACTCGTCACCGATCCGGCACCCGCGGCGGCGATGCCCAGCTGCGCCATGGACAGCGGCGCCTCTGCATCCGCCTGCGCCGCAGACGCCATGCTCGCCTCGCCGTTCGCCCAGCGGATCGCCGACTGGATCTGATTGTACGTAAAGAACAAACACGCGTTCTCTAGCGTCGCGCCCAGCACCGGCATGCTCAAGCCCCGGTACAGTCCACGAATGCCCTCCTGCAGGTACGTCTGCTTGAAGCAGTCAAAGGCACCTGCGTAGCGCGGAGGCCTATCCGCCGACTGCGTCTGGAGCCGCACCTTGACCAGGTCGAACGGGTGCTCGAACACCTTGCTCACCATGCCGGCGATCGACCCGAAGGCGATGTCCTTGGTAGCTTGGCTCAGCCGGCCCGACGACGCCGATGCCGAGGCCTCTTCGTTCGGCGAGTGAATCATGAACACCCGTGACGTCGTGGGCTGCCGGGAGCCTTGGGTTGCACCCGTAGCCCGGCTCCAGCTCTCTTCCTGATGCTGCCGCGGCGAGTCGCCCTCGTCCATCGGCACTGAGACCGAGTGGCGATGGCTAGACGAGGGCGGACTTAAAAGTACGGCCGACATGGCGATCTCGAGGTCCGCAACCGAATCGTCGCGCAGAGACGAGGGCTGGTCTGATGGCAGCTTGGTCGGACTGCCGTCGCGCACGGTCTCGACCTCGAGCTTGTCGTCCGACGCAAAGGTGTGGTGCGAAGAGAGCGTCCCTGCCGATGCGCGCGCCGACTGGATCAGGCTGGTGCGCGACGAGCTGTCGGACGTCGTACGACCTGCGGATGCCGACGACGACGAGAAGGGTCGTCCGGGATTCGATCCGTCGGGCAAGGCCAACGAGCCGCGACGCGTGCGCAGAAGCGGACTGGGGATGCTGTCAAAGGCCGAATGGGCGGCAGGCTCGATGGCGAGGCCGAACGCGGGGCGCTTTCGATGTGCCAGCACAGATCCCGAGGAAAGCGGCCGCGACGTGGAGCGCGTCGAGAGTGACGCAGCCGCAGCCAAGGTCGGTACGAAAACCGAAGCGTCGGTAGCGCGATTTTTGCTTAGCCCCTTGAGCGACGAGGAGCGGTTCAGCGAAGGCGCTTCGTCCAAATGCGCCGAGATAACACCTGCAACGAGCGAGGGTGACGAGTGGTGGTCGAGAGAGAAGCCTTCGCCAGTCGTAGGTCTTTGAGCTTGGCCAAGCGTGGGCTGACGGAGCGCCGAGTCGGACGAGGTCGGTTCCAGCCTGTGCGACTGGAAAGACTGGTGCGAGCGATGCGAGTGGTGCGAGTGGTGCGAGCAAGCCGACGACTCAGCTGTCGCTGCATGTGGAGTCAGGGCAACGCCAAGTGGGCCCGAGGGTGCTTCCCACTGCGACGGCTCCGAAAAGTTGGAAAGTGTTGAATCCACGCGCAGCCGCGAGCGAGCGCCTTCAAAGTCCGACGGCCTCAGCGTCAGATCGGCGCGATCGGGACTCAGATCGGTCGCATCGGTCGAGAAGGCCGAGGTGGACACCGACATGGGTCGTGAGATGGACATGGTCGTCACACGCTTGCGCTGCGACGACGACGAGCCGAGAGCTAGGCCGCCTCCGATGTTGGGCGAGCCCAGCAGGCTCGACCATGGCTTGCTGCCCACAAGGCTGTTAAGCGAGCGGCGACTTGTGTGGCCACGTCTGCCTGTGTCGGACGATGGAGGTGGCATCATGGACGAAGCGGTCGGAGCTGGCAGGCCGCCACGAGCCGAGGCAAGGACGTACTGCGAGCCGGTCGACGAGCTCGGTCGATGAAGGACTCTTCCAGCATCGAACGCGCCCGCGCCAAGACTGGCCAAGTCGCTCGACAAGTGAAAGCCAAGCGACGATGAGCTGGCGGGCGAGCCGGGCATGGCTTTGGAGTCGCTTCGCAGGTCGCGCGACAGCGGCCTGTACGCCTGAGACTGGAACGAGAACGGTGTACGCTGTGCTCCAGCCGAGTCGGTAATAGCAGAGCTAGTGGAAGTAAAGGAGGAGCCCGAGGAGGAGACGCCGCCCCTATTGCTGTTGGCAGCCCCTCCGCCATTGTAGGGTTGACTTGGTTTGTGCTGAGGTGGCGCCATCAGAGCATCCTCATCATGCGGACGCTGTGGTCGCGAAGGAGCGTGAGTTGCCGCCTGTGAAGTCGACTGCTCCGCCATCGACGTCGTATCTTCGAGTACCTGTGATCGCGGAGCAGGCGAGCCGGACTGATGCATATCGAACAGAGCGCGGTCCGGCAGACCGATCTCGGAAGGAAAGGAGGCGTATGTTGAGCGATGCTCCTCGACGGCTTCTTTGGTGCGAAGGATGGTCGGGCCTGCCGATCCTGTGAGCCGGCGGGCTTCTTCGTGCGAGATGTGCTCGATTACGCTTGTGCGACTCGCGCCGCGTGTGGTGGATTCGCGCCGTGGCCGGTGTGAGAGGACGTCGCGCAACGGTCTTGCGAGGCCATCGATGCTTTTCGTACGCGAGCGTGGCGAGGCTGGGTCAGCTGTCGATCCATCCTGCCCTGCTGCACTGTAAACAGGCGATGCAACCTTGCTGAGGCCCCCGAAGCTCCGCAGAAGGTCGAGGCTGGGCGAACGACGAGCCAAACTTGGCGAAGCGCGCATGTTGTCGTCTTGGCCGTCGGATCGAGACGGGCTGTCCTCGACGTGCGTGCGCAGGCGCGGCAATGCGTTGTCAGGGCCGAACGCATCGTCAGCTAATCCGAGCAGGTTGAGACCCCCGGGACTTGGAGCTCCGTCCATACTCAGAGCTCGTGATCGAAGCGTGGCGGAAGCGTCCGACAAACGTGACTGCGCAACGTTGGGACCTCGGGAGGCCGCATTGTCGGCAGCAGAGCGCGCATCGGCGGGGGGTTGGGGCGATGAGATTTCGAGGGGTTGAGCGGCACCCCTGGCCTCGCGCTCCCTTTTGCCCATCAGCCTACGCAGGCCTGAGACGAGGCTGCTCTTGTTCTTGGTATGCTTGCGGACATCGGGAGCAGTCACGGTCGGCGACTCTGCGGCGACAGGTGTAGACGAGAATGTGGCATGTGCGGCGGTCGGGCTGGCGATGCTTGCGCTCTTCTTGGTGGGACTGCCAGGAACGCCCCTCATACTGGTGGTTGCCATGCGTTTGCCCCGCGGCGAGGCCGTACCGTGGTCGTCGGAATCGCTCATGCCAAAATCTTGACCGGCGGGGAAGGGCTCGGTCGCGCGAGAGAAGCCTGAGGACTGCCGGGTCATTGATCCTTCTGGAGCGGTCGTTGGGCGAGTAGAGATGCTGCTGCGGCTGCGGATCGACGCGTGTGGGCTCCTCGATGCGGTTGCGAAGAAGTGGGATGCTTGCGCAAGTGGGCTGCCCACGACGCTGCGACTTGTGCGACGGTCAATGCCGACAATGGGAGGCGCGAGGGCGTCGCTGAAGTCGGATGTGGACGAAGAGGCGCGGGCGCGGCCTTCGGGATAGATCGGGCTTTCCTTGAAGGAGAATCCAGCTGCGGTGTAGGAAGATGCGCTGTGAATCGAGGGTGAGCGTGGATACTGCTCTGCGAGTGCCGATCGGGTCATGTCGGGGCCGGCGTGGATGCTGTGCGAGAGACTGGGACTGGAACGGAGGCTTGAATGCGTGGTGCTCCTTCCGTTGGGGGATTGGAATCCGTGCGCAGTGGCAAAGTTGTCCGACATGAGCGGAGTGGAAGGACCGATGGGAGGCAGAAGCTGAGGCGAGGACGAGGCTGTGGAGGGGCGTCGGAAGGAGACGAGGTCGTCTGCGCGCTTCTGTTCCGGCAGATCGGGCAGGACGGTGGCGGAGGCCATCCTGCGCATGGTACGAGGCCACGGTTTGGAGTAGCCGTGTACAGGACTTGCACCAGAGACATCTTCGGTGGAGACCACGGGCGTGGATGTGGCCGAGGTTGCAGATGCTGCCGAGGAAGGCGTGGAGCTGGAGGCGGACGACGGCTGCGGTTGCATGGATCTGCGATAGTACGAGGAGTGAGAGGCATCTTCGAATGTGCGAGAGGACGGATGTATGGTTAGGCGGGCTTGGTCGTGCTCGAGGACGGGTGCGAGCGAGTCGGAGCGATCGGGCGAAGCGAGCAAAAGCGGAGACGCGCGAGCGACCTCTTCGAGGAAGGCGGTATCGTTCTTGTCCCACATGCCGTCGTCGACGCTGTCGGCGTTGGCAGAGATGGAATCGCGAGACTGGATGCTACTGAAGCGCTGGCGGATGCTGCCCCAGCGTGGTGTCCTGGTGAGCGAAGGCGAGCTGGGTGTCGGTGTTGGAGAAGTGGACGGGGCAGCAGCTAGGGTGCTGCTGCCCTCGAGATCGGGCGACCTCATGATCATGAGGAGCGCTCGATGAGAAGCCTTGCGAGATTCGATGGCGCGAGGTGGGTGGTTGGAAGTGGATGCATGGACGCGATTGCTGGATCAGCGAGGACACGAGGTTGGCGCGGGCGAGGAAGCGTATCCTCTGCGAGATGGATGGAGATGGTGGCGGAAGGTATCTTCGAGCGTTGATCGCGCTGTCCGAGGGATGGATGGATGGCCAGGCTGTTGATTGATTCGTCAAGGTCGATGCGGTATGCAGTTGGTGTTGGCCGACGGCAGAGACAGCTGCGGTTACGAATAGGAGCAAGCTTCCGCAAGCGGTCGGGCAAGAAGAGCGACCTGACGAGGGTCGAGACGCGCGAGGGCTCAGCTTGGCTGGGCTGAATGGGTGGCTTGGATGAGAGCGGCGTGCTAACTTAGGCAAGCAAGGATGATGGTCGCCGCAGCAGCAGCAGCAGCAGCAGCAGCAGCAACAGCAGCAGCAGCAGCAGCACCAAGGCGTAAGGAGGTGCAGACTGGATGCAGGCGATTGTTTGCGGAGCGCGTAGATTGAAGAGTTGGCGCAAAGACTTGCAACAGCTGCAGCGCTGCTTGGCCCGGCCTGCAGGATCCCATGGCCAAAGACCAACACTCAGACTCGATGCGCACGCCTGGTTGTTCGGTCTGAGCCTCCACCACCCAAATGCGCCGCTCCCAATTTGGAAGGTCCTGGCGAGGCAGCAGCTGCTTGTTGATCCCTCCTGCACGTCGCCGCACGCGGCGCCCATCGAGAGGGGCTTCGGATGAATTTCCTGTGTTGTTTCGCCCGTCTACGTATTTTCGCCCTCGATTTCACGCACCGACGCGAGACAGCGAGACAGGCTGAAACAGGCACCAACGCCGCCGCATCCATCGCTTCCGCCAAGGCGCCACCGCTTACCGCTTCTAGAGTAAGTTGACTTGGCTTGGCTGCTGCATCCTGCTTACGACCAACGCTCTGCAGATCCGCACCGGGATTGTCGGAGTGCATAGATGCGCCATCATGAAGCTCTCGCCGCCACACCCGCTCAAATTAAGGCTGCTTGTCTGGAGCGCAGGGTTTCAGTCGCAGTTCGATGTGCCAATCAATCCCCATGGATGCTTTGCAGTGCGCCGCTTCAGCAAATGATACAGTCCTCGGACACCTTGAAGCCAAAGATCTCGTGGTCGATCTGCTTCTCGATCTGTCGAAAGTCGGTGCGGCTCTTGAGAAACTCGTAGAGCTCCTCCTGCCCAAACGCAAAGCCGTCCTCGCGCGCCGACGCCCGAGCCGACGTGGCCGCCGCATCCTTGTTCTTGAGCAGCGAGATGAGCTCCTTGCCGTCCACAATGTAGTAGTTGGCCAGCGTCTTGAGCGAGTTGTAGAATCTGGGGATGTCGGGCTCCTTGGACTTGAGCGAGGCGATGAACGCTGCAATGTGGTTCAGATCCGAGATCAGCTGGAAGCCGCCAGTCTGGCTGATCTGAAGCGACTTGAGGTGCTTGGTCAGGATGCCAAACAGCCGCAACGCCACCTCGGTGTAGAAGAGGTCCAGGATCTCCCGATCCGTCGCACCCACCAACAGCGAGCAGTGGAAGCGCAGCAGCTCGATCGTCGAGCGTGTGGCGCGTGTCGAGCTATCCAGCTCCGTCATCCTCGTCATGTCCTGGCCTGCATAGTCGAGCGGATCGCGCTGTGAGAAGAGGATCCATTCGGCCCGCTTCATCAGCAGATCCACCGACACGGATAATCCGCCCGCCACAAACTCGTCCAGGCTGCCTTCAAACGCCTTTTTGGCGCGAACCACCGAGTTGAGAAAGTCGTCCACATCCAGTTGGATCACCGGCACCAGCGTCTGCGAAAAGTACACCGAGCACAGCTGCGAGATCGTATCGGCAATGTGCGTCAGCTCGAAGAACTGCACCAGCGGCAGCACCTCGGCTGCAGGCGGCTCCTTTTCCGCTTCCGACCCAGCGCCGTTCGACGTGCCATCTCCGTCCGACAAGGGATTCCACTGCTTGATCTGGTCCGTCGCCTTATTGAACCCGTGCGCAATGTGTTCTTCTCCCAGCACCTGGAACAAGGACAGACAGACCTCCTCCATCTCTTCCTTGACGCGCCGCCCATTGGACGTCGAATCGGGATACACCATAAACGCTTCCATCCTCTTGAGCGACTCACGGTTCACCTGGATCAGCGCGAGCGCCGTGTCGAGCGACAGCAGCAGCTGCAGCCTGCCAGGCCGGTGCGGTTTGTTGTCTGTAGAGGAAGCTGCTTCCACTTTGGGATCCGGTTCCGAGACCGACGGTTCTGTATTCGTCGTTGGGGTCGCAACACGAGGCTCGGGCTGCGAGTCTCCGCTTGCTGTACCCCAGGAATGGCCGTTGACGTCGGGTGCCTTTTCGTTCCATTCGTCCTGCAAGCTATCACCGGGGAAGCTTGCCATGTTTCGCGGCTTTTCGTTGGTCGAGGATGCTAGCGCATCTTCCTGATCGCTGTCCTCGTCGTCGCCGATGATGTGGCCGTCGGGGCCGCCAAGCACCTCCTTGCTAAAGTCTACGTATCCGTTGTTGGCAGTCGTCTCGCTTGAGTTGGAAGCATTGGCCGGCGTCGATGCGCGTTGTGGCGTAGCGAGAGCAGAGCCGGAAGCACTTGCCACGCGTGCGCCGCTCGAAGCGCCCTGCTGCCACTTGAGCGGGTTGAGCTGACTGAGGCCAGTACCTGCGGTGCGGATCACCGCGCCACCGACGGCGCCGGCTGCGCGGGGCACCACGGTGACGGGCATCAGGAGCACGTCCTTGAACCCGCTGAGCACGTTGCGCTTGACCTGCGCCGGATTGTTGCTGGCCAAGAAGGCCGCATCCATGGTCTTGGCAGCTTTGATGCGCGATGACGAGATCCGTGTGCGTGATGCAGCTACGGACGACGATGTCTCGCCTCCTTCGGAACACAGGTCCATCATGACGGTGCGCACCCAGTCGCGCTCTTCCTGGAGATACTCGTCGAGGTGCGCCTCGAACATGGACAGGACGATGGCGCGGCATCGTGCCGGCGTGACCGTATCGGAATGACGAGGCTCGATCTTTTCGAGCGCATCGACGATCTTGAGAGCCTGCGAGAAGGTGGCTGCAGCTGCTTGGAGGTAGAGATGAATGTCGATGGACCGTGCCTTGGCGAGGACGGCGTTGATGTACTCGCCGAGGACCTCGTTGGCGATGCGGCTGGCGAAGGTAAGCAGGACCTGCTGCTCTGGCGGGAAGACGCGCGCGACGAGCGAGCCTTCGGTCTGCAAGGTCTGTAACAGCTCGGTCATGAAAGCGTCCATGGCGGTAAAGTCCAAAGCTGGGCGGGTCTGGTTGGACGCGGTGACAAAGTTGGCTTCCGGTCGATGGTCGGTGGGCCTAAAGACGGCATCGCGCTTCTCCAGGAAGCTGAGAGCTGCGGCGGATCCTGGGTGATCGAGGAGATCGATGAAGTTGGCGGTGTCGGCGTCGCCTGCAGCGGAAATGATGCCCGAGGGAAGCGGAGATGAGCCTGAAGTGTGGATCGCGAGGTTCCAAACGAGGTCTGCGTGTTCGTGCATGTCGCTCTCTGCGCGCTCGATGGCTTTAGACACGTCGATCCCCCTCTGACCGGCGCGCAGGGCGTCTGCGCGACGAGCATCTGCGCCTTCAAAGGCTGAGAGCAGGACGCCTTCTAGGTAGTCGGCGGCTTCTCTGATGGACATGCGCAGCCTCCATTGGTCCTGATCGCGCGTGTCGGCTGCAAGGCTTTGCGAGTCATTGGATGAGACTTGCTGATCAGCAGGCTTTGCGAAGGATCCGAGCACGAGCGGGCCGGTGAAGCGTGCCACATTGCAGACCGTGCATGCCTGCGAGGGCAGCGAAGATAAGCTCGGGTCGGTAAAGATGAGAGACACAGTCGGGGACGACTCGAAGAGGAGGCTCTGAACGAACGGCTTGAGTGTGAGGGCGACGCGCTTGAAGGTTTGATAGGCCGAGTCGGTCTCTGCACTGGGCAAGGGTAGTTTGGACTCGGCGCGGTACGAAAAGACTGGTGCGGAGGAGAAGCTCTGGCCGGACTGCGCCGGCTTGGAAGAGACGAAGCCGCCGAAGCTTTCATCTTCAGGGCTCGTGATTGTGGCTGCTTCAAAGTCGCCAAAGTCGTCGTCGTCTTCGTTGTTGCCGTTCGAGTGGCTGGAAGTGCTGTGCTTTCGCTCCGGTGGTATTGACGCATCTTTGGATTTGCGGGACGAGGAGGCTATTGTGGAGAGGTCCGGTTGGTAGCGGATGTGACGTCCAGGAATCTGCCTGTACTGCAAGTACGCAAGCTTCTGCGCCCAGAGCCTCTCGTCGGCGACAAAGCGGGCGAGCGGACGAGCTGCCAGTGCGCAACTTCGGAGGTCCGAAACGGGTACGAAGCTGAGAATGCGTTGGATCACCGTCGACGGAAGTGCACCGATGGAGAAGGGGTCGAGCGAAACATCGTTGACGTGGGTGTTGGGCGCGGCGCTACTGTCTGTGCCGCTGCCGCGAGACGCAGAGATACTGAGTCTGTCCTTGCTCAGCACGTTGGTCAATCCGAGCGAGCCGGAGCCGGTCGCCTTGGATGTAGGCACCAGCGGAGCCCAGGTGGTGTCCATCGTGATGTTCGCTGCGTGCCACTGGATGCTCAGTGAATCGACATTGAGGCAGAATTTCTCCTTCCTTGTGGAAGCGGAAGTTCCGTCGACAGAGGCTGAGTCGAAGATAGGTCGAACTGTGGGTGGCAGAGGAATTGAGGAGGAGGAGGTCGGCAAGTGTTGAACTTAGAGCTTAGCATGTGACCCTCCACTTGCCGTCGTGGAAGCGCTGCGTGTGAACAGAGAGAGGAGGCTGCGGACGTGCGGGCTAGAGGCTGCCGGAAAATCCGACGCACGGCCAAATTGGTCACAAGCTCAGCCCTTCTTCGTCTCTCCTCTCTCCCAAACCAACGACTTGCTCCTGATCACACGACTACAGCACTCGGTCGATGAGTCGGACCATCCCATCGACGCACCGCTGATCCAGCTCGGCAGTGTGTCGCCGCGACTTTCTTTCGGAGATGCCGCCCAAGACAGCCGCGTCGGGACGTGGGCGCTCGCAGCACACACGCAACTCGTCCATCACATCGCAGCGAGACAAGGACGAGGGCGAGCCGTTCCATCCAGCTGCGGATGCCGCCACCTTCCGCGATCTGCTCATCTTTGAGGAGCGTCTGAAGCAGAATGCCGCACGACTGCAGGCTCGCAAACGCAAGTACGAGCTGCTGCTGGCTGGCTTTGTCGGGTTCATCCTGTGCCTATCGCATTTTGTCGTCGTCTCTCCGCGGTCTTCGGTGTTTCTGCAGTACAGCCTGGCTGCAGTGCTCATGATCTGCCTCACCACACTCTTCCTCTTTTTCGCCAGCGGTATGCATGCAGAACGCATCCGATCCGCCAACAAGTTCGTCCCGCAGGCGAATCGAAGTTTGCGCAGCTTCAACATGTATCTCAACACGCGCACCTCGGCTTCCTCGCGGTGGTGGTCCCTCCGTCGGCTGCTCCGACCCGATCAAACTACCAAATCCACATCGAAGGAATCCTCATCGCTAGTCAGTATGGTTGACAAGGCGCTCAACCGAGGAACGACCGTGTCGAAGTCTTCCTCGCGGCTGTCGAGTGGAGCATCGAGTCCGCGCAGAGCTGCACTGTCTTCCATCCCGCCATCGCAGAACAGCAGGGGCGAACTCATCTTTAGCAATCGCGTCAGTCCCGACTTTCGCGAAGGCTACGAGCGGTATCGTGCGGCGTTTGAGCGACGAAGGGCCGAAAAGATCGCAGCCAAGCGCGCTCAGTCGTGGAAGAGGTGGTTCGACTACCTGCTTGCGCGCAATTCGACTCAGCCAGCCAACGACTCCACACCCAAGCGCACGCAGGCCCGCAGCTCCCGTCCGAGCGCAGCACATTCGCATCCCACACGCAGCTCAAAACATCGCACTCCGCGGTCGGGGCAGTCGACCACCCAGCCCGATTCCGGCAACGAAATGGCTGCAGCTTCAGACGATGCCCCCCCGCTCCACAGTGCTGGTGCTCACGGCGAAGACCTCAGCGAGGGCGGCTTGAGCGACGATGGCTATCCCCCATCCATGGCCTCCGGCTCATCCTTATCCGGTCACGAACCAACATAAAAAGACTTGTAAATCAGACACTGAATACATGCTAATCATTCATACGTCGCGCTGCATTGATTGCTTTGTCTTTTTTTGGGGGAGGCGTGAAGTCGAACCGCAGTGGGCTCGAGCTCTACTGCTTGGTCGCCTGGACGGCTTCGGAAATGACCGCCTCGGGTTTGGAGATGTTGCTGAGCGCCGAGAGCACCGCCTTGAGCGAGGCGGTGGTGATGTCGACGTCGATGCCCACGCCCCAGAAGCCCTGCGCCTTCTTCTCGCCCACCTGCTCCTTGTGTGCTGGGTCGATGAGCTCGACGTACGACGCCGCCTGCGCCTTGGAGCCGTTGCCGCGTGCGCTGCTCGAGGTGTTGGTGCCCGTCTGGAGGCTGGACGACTTGGTGATGGCGTGCTCGCTGTACTCGCGGATCTCGGCCTTGAGGCCGAAAGTCGACTCGACCGCGTCGATGAGCGCCGAGAGCGCACCGTTGCCCGTGCCCGTGAGCTCGTGCACCTTGCCCTCGTGCAGCACCTTGCCCGTGAAGCGACGGTGGCGCGGCGTCTGCAGGCCGGAGCCGTGCTCGTCCTCCGAGGTGATGCTGCTCGACAGGTCGTCCGAGAGCGAGTAGCCGCGCAGCGCAAAGCGGCCCTCGTTGCGTCCGGCCTCGAGCGAGGCGAGGTGGTAGGTCTGCGTAAAGATGCGCGTGATGTCGTCCGAAGTCATCTCCTTGCCCGTGCGGTCGGCCACCTCCTGGATCACCTGGTAGAACGCCACCTGCATCCTGCGCGGCAGGTCGAGGCCCAGGCTCTGCGCCACCAGATACGCCACGCCGCCCTTGCCCGACTGCGAGTTGACGCGGATGACGGCCTCGTAGGTGCATCCGAGGTCGAGCGGGTCGATGGGCAGGTAGGGGATCTCCCACGTGTTGTCGCCGTCGGCGATGCGCTTGGTCTGGGCGGCGAAGCCCTTCTTGATGGCGTCCTGGTGGCTTCCGGAGAAGGCGGTGAAGACGAGGTCGCCGGCGTAAGGGTGGCGCGGGTGGACGGGGATGTCGTTGCAGCCGCTGACGACGTCGACGACGCTCTGGATGTCCGAGAGGTCGAGCTGGCCGGGCTGGATGCCCTGGGAGAACATGTTGAGGGCGAGGGTGACGATGTCGACGTTGCCGGTGCGCTCGCCGTTGCCAAAGAGGCAGCCCTCGACGCGGTCGCCACCGGCGAGCATGCCGAGCTCGGAGGCGGCGACGGCGCAGCCGCGGTCGTTGTGCGGGTGGAGCGAGACGATGACCGAGGCGCGGTCGGAGATGTGGGTGCAGAAGTACTCGATCTGGTCGGCGTAGTGGTTGGGCGGGCCGACCTCGACGGTGGCGGGGAGGTTGAAGATGATGGGGTTGTCGTGCGACGCCTTGCCCCACGCCGTGCGCACCTCTTCGCAGATCTTGACGGCAAAGTCCATCTCGGTCTGTGTGAAGGTCTCGGGCGAGTATTCGTACTTGAAGTTGGTGCCGCCGTTCTCGGGCTTCGAGTAGTGGTCTACGAGCTCGCGCACGATCTTGGTGTGCTTGACGGCGAGGTCGATGGTCTGCTCTTGCGAGTTGCTGAAGACGACGTTGCGGAAGAGGGGCGAGGAGGCGTTGTACATGTGAAGGATGACGTTCTTGGCGCCCTTGATGGACTCAAAGGTCCTGCGGATGAGCTCCTCGCGCGCCGGGGTGAGCACCTGGATGTAGACGTCGTCGGGGATCATGTTGTTCTCGATAATGTGGCGCACGAAGCCAAAGTCGGTGTCCGAGGCGGAGGGGAAGGCGACCTCGATCTCCTTGAAGCCGACCTCGACGAGCTTCTGGTAGAACTTGAGCTTCTGCTCGCCGGACATGGGGTTGATGAGCGCCTGGTTGCCATCGCGAAGATCGACCGAGGTCCAGATGGGAGCCTTTTGCTGCACCTTTGTGGGCCATGTGCGGTTGGGAAGGTCGATCGGTTTGTACGGTTTGTACTTGTCACCTGGGATCATGGGCGCCATGGTGAAGAGACTTGCTTGCGGGGGTCTGCGGGTGGTATCAAAGTCGAATGGGAAGTGCGGCGGCCGAGTAGGAGGAACAGGTGGCTTTGGTGGGAAGAAGGGAAGACTTGAAGACTGAGCCGTGTCAAAGACTCCACTCGAGGCTCCGGCATGCGGATCGAGACCTTCGGGCCAAAGGTGCGGGAGAGGTGCACGCGCCTTGAGGCACTGCACCTGTTTAGGCCGTCTCAAGGGCTCTCGCTGAGGCCCGTGATTAAAGGAAAGGATTTAAATATTTAAAAATGCAAAATAAAATTTAGCGTGACTCGAGAGAGCGACGGTCCCTTCCGAAGGCTGCAGGCCAGTCACGTTTCATTTGTTGCGCCTCTCTCTCCCACCCTCTCTCGAGAGCTCACGGCAGAGAAGCTCCGAAGAAGCTGGAACTGAGGCTCACATTGTCCAGCTCGGAAGGCAAGGTTCAAAGCAAAGGATCATATTCTCGCATATGCATTGCGTTTGGGGCGTGTGGGTGACGAGAGTTAGGCAGTGGCAGGCGGTTTGGAGACGTCAAAGTGGACTCCTTCCTGCACCTTTCCGTCGGCGGTCTTGATGGTGATGGTGCCGTCTTCGTTGCCAAAGTAGGCCGACTTGCAGATGTTGCAGAAGAGGCCGACCTCGACGACGCCGGTGAGCAGCTTGATGCGCATGAGCAGGTCGGAAGGGTCCTTCATCTGCGCCTCGGGGAAGGGTGCGTCGATGCAAAAGTTGCCGTTGTCCGTGACTACGGGTCCTGCCTTGGCCTTGCCCATGCGCAGCACCGCCTGGTCGGATCCCATCTTCTTGAGGTTCTGCAGCACCTTGGCGTAGGCGAACGGCGTCACTTCGATCGGGATACCCTGGAGCCACTTGGTGCCGAGCTGCGAGCCGTTCTTGCGGTAGTCGGCCACCACGACGAACTCGTTGGCCGCCTCGGCGAGCACCTTTTCGCGCAGCTGGCATGCGCCGCCACCCTTGATGCAGTTGAGCGCATTGTCCACCTCGTCGGCACCGTCGATCGTCACGTCAATCGCCGGGAAGCTGTCGACGTCGCCCAGACGCAGACCTGCGTTGATGATGAGCTCTCGCGACTGGAAGCCCGTAGGCACGAACCAGCGCTTGGCATTGATCTCGGCGCCCTGCTGTGCGATGCGCTCGACCACATACGGCACCGTCGACCCTGAACAGGAACGCAAATGTGTCAGTCGCAAAAAGTCAGGATGCCGCAAGATGGGTTGGCTACTCACCTGAGCCGATGCCGATGATCTCGTGGTGCGGGAAGACGTGGTTGTCGACGGCAGCGTAGGCGGCTGCGCGCTTGGCAGCTTCCACGCCAGAGAGCTGTGCCAGTTCGGTGCTCTTGAATGCCGAAGAATTCGAGTTGGCAGCGTGCGCCGCAGTTGCAGAGGTGGTGGATGCCATAGTGCGTGGACCGGATCTAAAGCTCGAACGAGGTGGAGGCGCGATTCGCGGAGAGAGCAGCGGCAGAGGTGAGGCAACGACAGAGACACGTTGGAGACAAGTCGCAGAGGGCAAGTTGGATGGACGAAGGAGAAGACGCATGGACAAGCGCAACGAGCTGTTTCAACGTCGAGAGCGAGGAGGGTTAGGGAAGCAGACTAACACCCACACTGCGGCCATCGAATAGTGTCGGTGGACCCACCGCGCCTTCGCACCCTGCACGTCCGCTAAGAAGCACGTTGACGTCGACTTTTCCGGACCGGCAGAAGATGCACTTGCATTCGCTTATGTCAGCTAGACATAAGCACTCTTAGCCCCCCACCGTCAGGGTCTCGTCTGGAATTTTTTCGTTTTTGAGCCCTTCTTCCTTCGTGGAGGAGAATTTTTCGAGAGGCGCTAGCCGGAGGCATCACAGCCAAGGCAAGTCGAGCAGCCCAAAAAAGGGCCCTGACCTTCTTCATACAGTCAGCCGTGCTACACTGGTCGCTCAACACGCTGGCCCCTCCATCTTTCCCTCCGCCATCCCTCTTCCAACGAGACACATCGGAAGAGAGCCACAGCACTCAACACGGCGGCTACATCACTCTTCGGCCGACTGTCTCTCAACCCTGCAGCGTCTATTCGACCGGACACACTCGCAACGGTTTCGATCAGCTCCGTGACACATCCCCACTGGCCCACCTTTCCTCTGCCCCACTCTCAAGGGCTGCTCACGCAGACTCTTGAGCGTTCTTCTATCATGGCCTCCATCGACATGGACGCATCGGCCGCGGCTGCAAGCCTCGACAGCCTGCACAGCGCTTTCTCCAAGATCCGCCACCACACCAACTCCAAGCTCGAAAACCAAAAGGGCCCCGCACAGCTCCTCGTCGCTGTCGAGGCCACTCTCGCAGAGCAGGACTCCACAAAGGGCACCACTTCGGCGACTGGCGCGGCTGCCTCCCAGCATGCTGCTGCCAACCGCTCGCCTGCCGAGTACTTTCTCGCGCTCGAATCCATGATGGAGATGGCAAAGTCGCCGTCGGCCCCGTCGTCGCTCCTCAGCAACGTCTTCTACCTGCTCTCCATTGTGGCGCCCCACGTTTCGCCAGGCATCCTCCGCGCAAAGCTCTCCTCCATCGTCCCGGCCGTCGGCAAGCTCCTCACCACGCCTCATCCCACCACCTTCAACGTCAACGACACCACCTCGGCCGAAACCTATGCATCCACCCTCAAGTCAGCCCTCGCCATCCTCCAGGCAATCTACTCGGCGTTCCAGTCCGACGTCTCGGCGCTCGAGAGCGACGGCCCTCTGAGGTCCTGCTGGTCCGCAACGCTCAACCTTTGCGCCGACTCGCGCCCAAAGGTTCGCCGCCGCGCACAGCTCCTCATCACCTCCATCCTGCCCACCACCGCTGCCGCCTCGGTCAAGCCATACCACCCCTACCTCAAGCTCACCTTTGACTGGATCATCTCCACCCTCGCACACGTCGCCGACGCAGGCTCCGTCTCGTCCTCAAAGTCCAAGAACAAGAAGGACGACCCCTTGCATCCAAAGTACGACAAGAAGTCCGGCACCGCCAAGCAAGCACAGGCCGCTGCCGCTCTCCGTCAAAACCAGGGCGACACTGCTTCCGTCGGCATCTGGGTCTGCGGCTTCGCAAAGCAGATGATCAACATCCTGCCCCTGGCTCAGGTCGACGATCTCGTCGCCGCCCTCCTTCGACTGCCCGGCCTCCAGAACCCTTTCCTCACCGTCGCCGCTTTCGACGTATTCGAGGCTTTCCTCAAGGCGTGCAGGCCGAGTATCGCATCCGGTGCCGCACAGGCCGACGCCCTCCTCATCCAGTCCCACGTCACCTCGTCCCCGAGCAGCATCGGAGAAAAGACGCTCGCCAGTCTCCTCGACTCGCTCCGCTCACCCGCCTTTGTGCCGTCGAGCTCAGATGCGCAGCTCCTTCCCGCCTACCTCCGAGCGCTCGAGCACGCCGTCTCCGCGTACTCCCGCTTCGACAACGGCGCTCCGGCTTGGCGTCTCGCTCCTCAGGTCTGGTCCGACGTCATCGCCCTCTCCATGTCGGACAAGTCGGATGCCTCTCGAACCGCTCCCGCCGTCCGCGCAGCCGGACGCGACTGCCTGATCGCGCTCCTCCGCTACTGCGTCCCGGATTCGGCGATCCAAGACGCACTCAAGGCGTCCTTCTCCAAGAAGAAGGCCTCCGACGCCCCCTTGCTCGGCATGATCCAGTCCCTCGAGGATGCTCTCGGCAAGGATGCACTGCAGTTCATGCATGCGCGCGCAGAGATCCTCTCCGTCCTCGCCTCGCTCATCTCCAGGCTTCGTTACCACTACGTCCCCGAGACGCAGCCGCCTCATCCTGCCGCCGCCTCGCTTGCCATGCACATCGTTCAGACCGTCGCCGAGCTCCGACAGCAGCCCCACTTTGAGCACCGCGAGTACGCCGACACCGTCATCGCAGCTGCCGTCGAGGTTTGCGGTCCGCGTCTCCTGCTCGAGGCTCTGCCGCTCAACCTCTTTGGCGAGACTGAAGGCCCGGGCCGTGCATGGCTCCTCCCGCTCATCCGCACCAAGATCAACAACACCGAGCTCAGCCACTTTTCCGGCGACCTCGTCTCGCTCTCCGAGAAGATCTTCACCAAGCGCCAGGAGGCCGAGAACGACGCCCGCCCCGTCGAGGCAAAGATGTACGAGGCCCTCACAGAGCAGATCTGGGCCCTCTTCCCGGCCTACTGTGCCATGCCCAGAGACCTGCTCTCCGCCTTTACGCGCCAGTTTGCAGAGCTCCTCACCAACGTGCTCTACACCCAGTCCAACCTGCGTCCGTCCATCTGCCGCGGTCTCCAGGCACTCGTCTACCGCAACGAGGCGCTTGTCTCGTCTGGCGCGCCCTCCGACTCGCTCAAGCACGCCTTCGGCCTCGACCAGGCTGACGGCAAGGCCAACATCGCCCATCTCTCCGCCATCGCTCCCAACTTGCTCGCCGTCCTCTTCAACGTCTTTTCCCAGTCGCCCGGAGAGGGTCGCGGATTCGTCTACGACACCATCGTCGCTTACCTGCGCGTCATGTCGCCCCAGGACATCCAAAACACCTACCTCAAGGTCAAGACCACGCTCGAGCAGTCGCTGCCCACGCTCTCCACCAAGCAGAAGCGCAACCAGAAGGAGAGCACCACCACGCCCCCACCCGTGCCCTACACCATGCTCGACCTCATCTCGGCGCTCATCCCGCACCTCGATAAGAGCGCAGGTGGCCCCGCTGGCGACCTCTTTGAGCTCATCTGCCAGGACAACGTGCTCCGCTCGCACGACTCGACCGTGCAGAAGAAGAGCTACCGCATCCTGAGCCGACTGCTCGAGGGCGATGCGGGCAAGCAGATCCTTCTCGCTCCCTCGGCCGGCAGTGTCAAGGGGTCCAACCGCGTCGGTGAACTGCTCGACAAGCTTCGCGAGTCGACTTCCAGCGTCGCGCTCGGAGCCAAGCGTGACCGTGTGCTCCTACTGGCCACGCTCGTCCCCAACATTCCCTCGGACGAGCTCCACCACCTGCCCAGCATCATCCCCGAGGCCGTGCTTGCCACCAAGGAGGTCAATGCTCTCACTCGCCAGAATGCCTACGAGCTGCTCGTCCAGATGGGCTACAAGATGGAGCAGGGCGGTTCCATCAACCGCGGCCTCGTCGAAGGCCATGGCGCTGCTGCTGACGCAGCAGAAGAGGCCGAAGACGACAGCGAGATGGCCGATGCCGGTGTGGTGTCCGCTTCCATCAGCGAGTACCTCACTATGGTTGCCGCCGGTCTTGCCGGAACAACACCTCACATGATCAGTGCTACGATCACCGCGCTCTCGCGTCTGGTGTACGAGTTCAAGGAGACGCTGGAGCAGAGCGTGCTGGACGAGCTGCTGAGCACGATCGAGGTGTACCTGCAGTCGGCCAACCGCGAGATCGTCAAGTCGGCCATCGGCTTTGTCAAGGTGGCCATCGTCGACTTCAACACGACGCTCATCGACTCGCACCTGCCCAAGCTCATCCCTGCGCTGCTCGGATGGTCGACCGAGCACAAGCAGCACTTCAAGGTCAAGGTGCGCCACATCTTTGAGAGGCTGCTGCGTCGCTTTGGCTTCGAGCGCATCTACGCGCTCACCGACGAGGACAACCGCAAGCTCATCAACAACATCCGCAAGCGCAAGGAGCGCGCCAAGCGCAAGAAGGCCAATGCGGCCGCCGAGCGCGAGGCAGGCGCTCTGGGTGAGGACGACGATGACGAGCCCGGTCTCGCCCCTCGCATCCTCAAGACCAAGGGTGGCAACGATGCGTTCGAGGAGGTTGTCTACGGATCCGAATCCGACATTTCGGATTCCGAGGACGATGACGAGGATGCCGAAGCCGCCAACGACCGCAAGGGCGGCACTGCTGCGGCGCTCAACCGCAATCGCCAGCGCAAGAATGGTGGCGACGACGACAAGTCGGGTCGCTCCAACCGTCGTCGCGGCAAGCAGCAGGACGAGGCGTACATCGAGGCGGACGATGATGACGATGTGCCGATGGACCTGTTGGATCGCAGTGCCACTGCACGAATCTCGCTCTCCAACCCCAACGCCAAGGACGCTGGTCGTGGACGCAACAAGAAGCGACAGCCTGGCCAAGAAGCGAGCAAGTTCGCGCTCGACGAGGCTACGGGCCGAATGCTCATCGACGATGACGAAGATGCATCTGCAAGGCAAGGTGCTGGCAAGCGCGTCTCGTTTGCAGATGGTGGTGCTGAGGCTGGGCCTGTTGATGTGGAGGGTGCTGGAACCGCCTACATCAATCAAGGTCGTGGTGTGGATGGTATGGCCCAGGTGCGCGGTGGCGCTGTCAAGTTCAACAAGAACAACAAGCGAACGCGCGAGGCGGAGCGCGAGATGGAGCTCGAGCAGATTGCGCTCGAGGAGGCTCAGGACCGTGTGCGACAGGTGCAGAGCGGCAAGCCGGCGCAAGCAGACAAGAAGAAGCGCGTCAAGGAGGCCATCGGCAAGGAGTTCCGTGCCAAGCGCGGTGGTGGCGATGTCATTCGAAACGGCAAGAGCCCTTACGCCTACGTGCCCCTCAGCCAGGTAGCGGGCAAGAAGGCGGGCAAGGGCGACAACGTCTCGTACACGGGCAAGGGAGACAAGAGCCGTAAGCGTCGCTAGTCGCGATCCTTCTTTTGTAAATACAGTCTTTCTTTACCCGAGATGCTTTATGATTCAGAGCGGCCAGATTTCGGCAAAGCAATGCGTGATATCCTCGACGAGAGCTGCGGGTTGCTCGAGCGCAGCGAAGTGTCCGCCCTCCGCGTGCTTTCGGAACCAGCGCAGGTTGACGCTGGCCTTGACAAACGACTCGGGCACCTGAATGATCTCGAGCGGGAAGCTCGAGTACCCAGTGGGCTGAGGGATGTAGTTGCGCGGATCGCTGGCGATGGCTGCCGGCCCTCCCGCATGACGATTGCGGTAAGGATAGAAGGAGCCGGCGATGGTGTCGGTCGTTTCGTACAGCGTGAGGTTGGCCAGAATCGTCGAAGCGTCCGGGTCCGCATCGGTCCATGCATACATCTTTTCTCCGACCCAGGCAAGTGTAGCGAGTGGCGAACGAGACAGAACCAAGCCGAGGGTCGAAGGCCGTGTACCGTGCATGGCCGCATAGGCACTGCCAGTCGCAACGAATTCGATTCCTCGACTCAACCCCTCACGCTCCTCTTGCGACAACGGCGCTGGCACCGAGCCAAGACTGAGCAGCGCAAGGCCCCTCCAAGTTGCCTCTGTCAGAAGCTCGGCTGTCTTTCCAATCAGAGTTCCAGCTCCGCAAAGATCGCTTGAGCGTTCGCCCTGGCTCCAGCTGGAAAACAGCCCGAGGGCTCGTTGCGAGTAGCGCTGCTTTGAGATGAGCTGAGGCAAACGCAGCACCCAGTCGGGCGTCCCTTGGCGCCCGACCAGGGGCAAGACGAGCGAAGGCGCCTGCGACGGACAAAAGTTGAGATGGACAGCACGGACGTTGTCGGGGAACTGCAGTGCCATGCTGCGCAGGAGTCCAGCGCCCCAATCGCCCGCCTGAATCGCATAGTTGTGGTAGCCAAGGCGCGCCATGAGCTTGTGCATGATGCGTGCGACGTCCTTGACGAGCAAGTCGCCGTTCGGACCCGAGTGCATACCGATGACGTTGCCTGTGCGTGGATCCCTGGCCAAACCTGCGGCCGAACTCGAGAAGATGTAGCCGGGATGAGAGGGGACCACGATGTCGAAATGGACGGGAGTGAGGTTGCCCGGATGAGCGAGCGGCTTGATGAGGTCGAGGAATTCGTGGATCGATCCTGGCCAGCCGTGCAGCAGCAAGAGCGGGATCACCTTGATGTTGGTGCCGGATGCTGGAGGATTGGCGCGTTCATGGATGAAGTGCAGATCCACATCCTCGATGAGCACCTTGTAGTGGGAGAAAGAGGAGAGGCGTGCCTGCTCCGCTGCCCATGTGTCGTGGTCTGGGCCCGCTCGTCTGCTGATGCTAGCCGAGTCGTCGGATTCACTGGCCTCAACCTTGAATGCGGGCTCCGAGCGGAGGAAGGGAATCCAAGCGTCGCGCAGCTTGCAGAAGCGTTCATGAGTGAGGCCGAGGCGTTCGTAGCTACCTTCGAAGCTGGCCTTTGTAGGTAGAGGACGCTTCGCATCGACCTCGATACGTTCAATCAGGTCCTGCAGCTTGTCCTCCGGGATCGTGGGATCGAAAGGACGAATGACCAACGACTGGGTGCTTGAGCCGAGGCTGTGAGTCTCGGAATGGTCCTGCGACTTCTCATCATGCCGAGGGCTGGCCTTGGGTCCCAGGCCGTGCTCTCCGCCGTGGTAGACGGAGTCAACCTGGGGCGATTCGTTGAAGAGGTGCCAGAATTCGTGTCCGTCGAGGGCGCGCTCGAGGTAGTGGGGAAGCTTTTGATCTGGCTCCGAGGCAATGGGACGGGGCAAGGTGCCGATGTCGTTCTCGCGTTGTAGCTCGCGAACCCAGCGCTGAGCAGTCTCTGGGCTGTCGTCTGGATGGTCCGGGATGTTGGGGCGGAGGTAGCTGAAGAGCTGCCACCAGTCGTAGACACGAGTGTCGGAGAGGATCCAGCGACGCCCCCAGCCGGAGCGGGTGCTTTGATGGAGGAGAATGATGGCGCGGGCGACGTCGAGACCATGGACAAAATGTACGGATCCTTTCAGGGCAAGCAGATCCTTTGTGGCGCCTACTCTGGAGGCAAAGTTCTTCGGCTGGCGCAGACCGCCGTACAGACCAGCGAGATTGAGTACCGCGGCACGTGGATGGCGTGCCTTTGCGGTGACATCGAGCAGCCTCTGTTCTGCGGCGGCGCGTGCATTTTGCGTGTCGAAGGGCGAGGAGGAGTTGTGTATTCCAGAGCCCCAGATTCCAGTGCTGCCGAGCTGAATCCAGCGCGTACTCCCGTGGATGGCTTCGTACTCCCGCACGAGGTCGTCGACTTGGGACAGAGTCTTGATGGGGAAGATGATGACGACGGTGCGTGCGCTTGGAAGCGGACGGAGTGACTGCTTGGTGACGGGATCCGTGAGCTCAAACTGGATTCTATGAGGATCGTTGGGTGTCTTTTCGTCGGGTGGAGATCTGGAGGTGTAGGCGTAGTTCAAGTTTTGGTCGCGGAAGAGAGGGATGAGGAAGGATCCGGTCCAGCCTGAGCCGAGCAGAAGCACGTCGACGGAGGCTGCCATGATTGCGATCCGGCAAAAGCAGCCCACGAGAGGATGGTTATCGACGGTGACGGTGATGAGGTAGCTTGGGAAGGAGCGTGGCTCGGTGGGCGCGCTCACGTCTGAGCCGAGCTGATCTGAGCGTCGACTCGATGATGCCTCCACTCGAAATTTTGTTTGAGCACAGAAGCAGAGAGTCTGGCATCAGGGTCCAAAAGCAGGGCAGCGAGCATGAACCTTGACCACACCTCTTGGTCGGCACCATACAATGTCGGGACGCAAGACTACCTTGGCATCTCGGTCGCTCGAGTATCGGGCGCCTGAGGTGCCGAGCTTCTTGAAAGCACTCAAAGCGCAAGTCTCCGAGAGTGAGCGGTATTCGCGCAAGCGGCCAAACGACGAGCTGGATTCGTTGGTTGCATCCGCATCCTCTGCAAGCAAACGCAAAGCACGGGATGCAGACGACGACGAGGGTCTGGACAGCGACGACGAGCTGCGCGGTGCACAAGTCGTCGTGCTCAAGGACGGCAAGCATCTATCGCAGCAACAGGCGCTCGAGGCCAAGGCGGTGCAAAGAATTCCCGCTTCTTCGAGCTCGACTCAGAACATCTCCTCGGCCAGCACCACTTCCGCACTCAAGCGGAGACGCCAGCCAATCGCTGACGAGGCTCTTTCGGACTCGGTTTCGTCCGCAAAAGCTCCACACATAGCAGAAGGCGGCAATGGCGGCGACGCAAGCTTGAATCACGTCAAGCAGCTCATCCACGAACGACACTCCAGACCAATCGACGACGAGATTCCCAGGAACGATACCCACACAAAAGAGAACAAGCGCAAGGCGAAGAATGCAGAAGCACGCAAGCTCAAAGCCAAGTCAGGGAAAGGTCTCAGCTTCGAACTTGACGACTGAAGCCACCTCGGAGCGTGAGAGCATAAACGAACGTCCCATCCAAGGTTTCCGTCACACCGAGCCAATCCTGTTCGGTCAATAGACTCACACAAAGTCGCGGCTTCTTATGGCGTCGTGTGACACTCGTGCTGCTGCGCGGTCCTGCTTCGGTATGTCGCCACTCGCCTCGACTTCTGTCAATGAACTCGATCAAGTTAGACGCTCGTGGGACTTCCGCCTCGCTCGCGTTGCTCCGCCGAGGAATCCCGCTGTGGAGAAAGCGTGCTCGAGTACGCCAAAGCTTTCAGGCTCATTCGGAACGCAAGTGCCGCACTGTCGATGTTCGAATTGGTCAGACCTGCGACTAGGACCACATGAAGGATCTGAGTAAATGAGACGGGATCGTCGGATCATCTTGCGATATGATATGACACCATGCAGATGTTCAAACAAGCGCTGACAGAGCGCTGACACAATGCAAGTCTTCCCGCTCATTCGCGTCTCACGGTCCTCATGAAACGGCAGCACTGCATCCCACGCCTCGCAACCCTACTCTTCTCTACGCAACGATCGACAGACACTTGGTTGTTCACACGCTCGACTTGCCATTCCGTCTTTTGTGTAGCTTGAATTGCCCAGCGTTTCGCTCGCCCGCCTTGCAGACGCTCTTACGCTCCATCGGTACAGTCGCTTCACCAGCAGTTCTGCGTCAGAGGTCATATATATCGCAACCCTTCCGGAGTGTCACGTCTTCGCCCTACATCCGACCGTCCCAACAAGGTATTCGCCGCTCCTTCTTTCATACTTCTTGCTCACTTTCTCGCTTGAATTATTCGAGCCTGCCCTTGAAAATACGTTTCGACCAACATGAAGGTGCACTTCGCAAAACTCTTTCTGGCGTTCGTCTTGGGTGCCACTTGCGCGCAGCAGTCGGTGAGCGACAAACAAGTCTCGGACGGCTACGACACGATCCGCCAATTGGGCAAGAAGCACGATCTGTCCGCCATTCGGCTCAAAGAGGATGGCACTTACGAGGGCAAGAGGCGTGGCGACGGTCAAATCATGCAGGTCGACATTCCGCTCGACCCGCACGTGCTCGCCGAGATCAAACGACGCGACGCGCTTCGCATCGATCAGTCCAAGCTCAAGTCCAATCCGCTCCAGCCTCCCAGCAAGGATTGGTTGATCGCCGTCTGCATCCCCAACATGTGTCAATTCGAAAGCGACATTTGCAGCAGGCTCATGTATTGCAGCACGTGTTGGGGAAGCGACCCGACCAATCCCGGCACTTGCATCTAGCGCAACGATCGCTGATGTGGTCGCCTCGCTTTGTTTCCTCAAGTTGAGCTTCCCAGCGAAGAACTGCCGTCTCAAGTCGAATTTTCGGCCGCTTTCTCGCCTCTCCTTGCATGAGAAGCGACGATCAAGACGGAGACGACGACTACACAGAGGACTTCCTCAGCGGAAAGACCTCGAGATCCGTAGCTTCAGAAGTCCGTTGGTCCGTCTTACAGTCTGTGTGAGAGGGTGCCAAGCTCGCTGACTGGGTGAATTAAGTGAATGAGGTGCGAGCAGGACGCATGATACGTGCGTGGCATCCGTGAGTGGGCGGATGCAGTAAGTTACGTCCTCCGCCACCGTGCGGCGTTGAGCGAGTGCGAAGTGCGCCTTATGCAGGCGTACATGTGAGGTGCGGCTCTCTGGGGCATGAACCGGGCCGGACGAAGGCCTGTTTCCAACCATCCCATGATTCGATGAGAAGCCGCTCTGCGAAGTACCGTTTTCTGCCGTATACACTTGTGAGCCTTACCTCGAGCCTTCAAGCTCGAGCTCAGCAATCGCGCATTTGCTCAAGCTCAAGAAGTCCGGGACATGCCAGCAATGCAATCACACTTCGCTCCGCACTTGGTTCCGCACATCGTCGCGCAAAAGACGCAAGTGTATACTGCATTCACAGATTGCCATTCAGTCTTCAGTCTTGCGCTTTCTCACGGACCACTGATGTCAAGTCAGCTTCCGCATCACGCTGCCCATCCTGACCCGCCAGAATCTACATCCGCTTGCTGTAAATGGGAATGACAGAGCGACGTCTCCTCGGCTCCCCATGTACCTTCCCTCCATCTACCTACCCATGTCCGTTGACCACCTCTTAGCGCTGGCTGCAAAGCCCGTCTTGCTGGCCCAGAACCTCGGCCCAGCACTCTGTGTCTCGATCGGGGTCCTTCTATGGATGTACCTGCTCATTCCCTTTTGGTTCCCTCGGCTCCTTCCTGGCTTTGTTCGGCTCGTCAGCGTCGCCTACGCCAAGCTCGTGCGGTTTCTCGTCGAAGGGTGCAAGGACTACAGCGACAGTGAGCAAGTCATCGGCCACGCTTTAACCATTGAAGATCACCCCTGACCACAGTCTTCCCTTCCAACAGCATCGATCGAGTCGAAATTCGCAGCAGAGGTCCAGAGGCTGGACCAGACGGTGGACGAGGCTCTAGCGAGAATCGCTTGGTCGCTAGAGTCCGGAAATCCTCGCTTTGAGGAGGCTGTGGAACGGGTCCTCGACGCCGTCGCTGCACTCAATACCCTCGTTGGCTCCTCGCCGGCCAGCGGAAACCCGACCACCGCCGCCGCTGTCATTGGCCCCAGCGCAACCATTGTCGTAGCTGCCGAAAGCTCCTCAGCAGTCGGCGCTCTCGCCGCCGCCACTGACAGCAATGCCGATGATGACGGCGGAAAGGACGGGAATGTGATCGTACCAACGCCCTCAGCAGCCGAGAGAGCTTTGACTCAGCTCTCCCCCTCCCATCAGCTCCATGGGACGAGATACTTCTCGAACGATGGCTTCGTACCCATCCAAGCCTTTCTCGACCGACATCCCTCGACGGCAAACGGGAAGAGGATGAAGTTTGCTTGCCTCATTGCAACGGACATGACGACCCTCGAGAAGAATTACCTCGTGGTCAAACTCCACGTGCAAGTCGATACCTACATCCGCATGATGGTCCCTCGCAGGTCTAACCTGGACTGGAACGAGCTTGAAGAAGCGATGGGCACAGAAACGTGCTACCTTGTCGATGGAGTAGTGCGCGGCCAAATTAGCCCCGGAGTGCCAGCCGTCAAGTTCGATAACCACTCCTGGCTTCGCAAGCTCAATCCGCACGGCGGCTGCTGCCTTGAGCAAATCTCCATCTTCTACGACAAGATGGATGCCGACTACAACGCCCGTCATAATTGAAGCAAGCCTCCATCACACGCCTCCTCCTTGTACTTAATGCATCGTTTGTGCTCACTCATCGGCATGCGGCCTGGTTTAGGACTGACTCTTTCATTGCGCTCTGCAAACGACTAGGCAGTGATAATGGGGTCGTCGAGCTCCTCGATGTGCGCCAGATCGTCGCCGCCTCCGAACTCGGCGTCAAAATCATCGTCGTCGTCGTCCTTTTTGGTCGTTGCTGCTTCCATGTCGCTATCGCTATCGTCGCGATCGACGACTTCGCCGTTGGCATCCACCTTGAGTTGTCCGCCCATGAGCTTGGCGAAGGTCTCCCTTTCCTTGGCCTGCCGCGTTTCGATGTCGGCCAGCTCCCAGAGACTGACGCCGTTCTTGCCCTCCGGGTACGGCTGGGCCATGGAGCGGATGAACAGCTTGGACTCGACGATCGCCATGTCGGTGGAAAGGTTGCTGTGCGTCTCCTTGATGTACTGCGCGATCCACTTGGGCAGCTTGTTGCGCTTATCCGCACGCGCGAATCGCTTGTCGGCAAACACCATCAATCCGTAATCCGTCTTACCGCGCAATACTCTTCCGACGCATTGCGCAGCGTGTCGCATCGCGTCGAAGGTGAGGAAGTCGTTCTCGCGGATGCGGAAGTTGTCGCGTAGGAACTCGAGCCTCGCCTTCAGGATTCGCGACTCGGTGTACTGGTACGGCACGCCAAACATGATCACCGCGCGCCCGTAGTTGTGGTCGAAATCGATCCCCTCGGACACTTTACCTCGGGCTACCGAGAGCAGGATCGCCCCTCGTCCATTGTCGCAAGCACGTCGGTAGTTCTCGAGCGCGATGCTCGTCTCGGGCGCATCGGGCGTCTCGATAAAGATGAGCTTGTACTTCCACACCTCGTCCAAGATGCCCATGTCGTGCCAGGCAGCCACGATGCTCTCCATATACAGATACGATGGGAAGAAGGCGACGATGCCATCCGGTACGCACTTGGCATACTCGATCAGGATGCTGCCGTAGTTGCGCACCACCGCCGGATCGTTGCGCACCTCGAAGCGCGAACTGATCGCCACCTGGTCGCTGCCGCGCGTGATGACGAGCGGCAAGAAACACTGGCGTGTGAGCGTCATGGCATAGCTCTCCTGCACAATCGCGTCGAATTTGAGCATCTTGGGATACATGTCGAGCGGACTGATGGTTCCCGACGTGATGATGACGCTCGAGAAGCGCTCAAACACGGGCGCGATCGCCAGACTCGCGTCGAGGCACGTAAAGTGGAAGATGGGATTGGGCACCGTCGCATTCTCGGTCTCGAACGGCTCGAGGATGAGCAGGAAGCCCTTGTCGTAGGTGGCGACGAGCGTGGCAAACGCAGCCACCTTTTGCAACGCCGAGTACTCGTCCAGCCGTGTCAGCTCGAGCGTGCCGACGAGCATGCGCAGCCGCTCGGCGCAGAAGCGCAGCGGTTTGCGCTCGATATAGGTGATGTCCTTGAGATGCTGGAGGAAGCTGGCGGGCGTCTCGGCGACGACGTGAAGCACGCGCATGCGCGTCTTGAGGTACTCGACGAAGCGCTTGAGGAAGGCGACAAAGTGTTCGGCTCGCCGAATGTTGCCCGGCACCGCCTCCTGAAGCAGGTCGTCCGGAAGGACGGGATTGGCCATGAATGATTCGGCCTCGCGCTGTTCGCCCTGCTCCTGGAGTCCCTCGACGAGACGTGCGTACTCGTCTTGCAGCTTGGAGGCGTCGGTGCGTTTGATCTCGTCGACGCGCTCCGAGAGCTGATTGATGCTGCGATAGGCGCTGTCGAGCATGGGCCGCGTGAGGTCGATGGAGAGCGACTCGATGCAGACGTTGTCGATGTTGTGCGCCTCGTCGAAGACGACGATGGCATCCTTGCTCATCTCCTTGCTCACCTGCTCGGCGATTTTGGGATCGAGGAGGTAGTGGAAGCTGTAGACGATGATGTCGACAAAGGGGATCATGCGTCGGATGGCAAAGTAGGGGCAGATGCCCTTGACGCGCGCGTACTCCTTGACCTCCTCGAGCGTCCAGACGCCCTGCGGTATGAGCTGGCCGGGCTCCATCTTGCCGAGCTCCTCGTGGAAGTCGCAGAGCTGAACGCTGCCTGGATCCTGACGGCCTTTTTCGCACGCCCAGCTGCTGGTCATGTCGCGGCAGCGCGCATCGACGACCTTTCCTTTGCGCTCCCTGCCGACGTCCGGATGGATGCAGAGGTTCTTGCGCGAACTGAGGCCGAGCGCGAGGATGTCTTCCATCTGGCCGCCCGCCTTGCCGCGACCCTTCATCTCGATGTCGTCGTCTGCGGGGCCATTGGTGCCGTCGGCGTCGCTCTTCGCGACGTACGACTCTTCGCCTTCGGGGACGTTGTAGCGGGCGCGATATTCCATGAGGCGCTTGAGCTCGGCGAGCGCCTTTTCGATCTCGGGTACGGTGCGCGAGCAGTAGATGAGCTTGCGCTTGGCTGGGTGGAAGAGCTGATAGCTGACGATGAGGCTGAAGAGGGAGACGGTCTTTCCGGTGCCCGAAGGCATCTCGAGGACGCAGTGGCCATTGGCGTCGAGCGTCCTCTTGAGATCGGTCATGTATGCATACTGTTCGGGATAGATCTTGGGGTACGGGAAGAGCACGGGGAGCTCGTCGATGTAGAACTTCATGGTGGCATGCGCCTAGCCGAGCTGATCGCTCGCCCAGCCCGCGTATCTGCGCTGTGCGTGCGTGCTTGAGGGTCGAGGCTCGGGGAGGAGATGCGGATCGAGAGGATGTGGTGGAGAGTCGAAAGGTAAGAGTGATACAGCGCTCTTCTGCGCGGCTCAATCGGTGCATGTGGAGGCGCGCGGATATCGCCCGATGAGTCAGATCTGCCCGATTTGTGAACCTCAGGGGTGTCATATTTCCTGATCTCACACGAGGTTGAAGTTCGAAAATCGGGGATCGGGGCAAATCGAATGTCTCGGCGCAGCCACGCTTTTGCGGGCCACGTCGGGCCCGAGCAAATTTTTGGGAAATCTGGAAGATTTGCAAGGGATGACGCGCGGGGTTTGCAAGGCGGAAGAGGCGAGGGCGGACGGCCGATCGGGCGCCGAGGCTCGCACAGAGAGGCGCGGGTTGGCGCTGGACGGCGTTGATGTTGAAAGTTCGAATTTTTTCAGTCCGCTTTGCCACCTCTCGTGGAACGTGGTACAGCGCGACTGCTCAGACCCGGCATTGGAGCAGTGTCACCGGCCGAGCAGACTGCCAGCCGCCTCAATGCGCGAACAAAGTGTCGAAAATCTGCCCTCTCGTCCTACCAGACGCCTTTTTTTTT